GAAGTGCAAGTATCTGTAATGTTTGTCTACGGCTTAGATTAAAATCACGTCGTACTGATAATGTCCGCTAGTAGTCGAGAACGAAGCGAGCTTAACCCTTTTCCTTTAATTTCTTTATTTTTTCTTATTCTCTAGTATAAATACACCATAAAGTGTAATATACATGTCTTTATAATTTATTATATGTGAAAGTGTAGTTAATACATGGCACATAAAATCATAAAATTTTTAATTTCTGTACATTTTATAAACTGAACTAATAAAGGTAACAAAATTATCCACTACAATTTCAAGTGATTTTGGAAACGTATAAATTTTGTAAAATTCTAGGGATGCGTTGATTTTAAGAATTTTACTATTATTTTATAGGTTATTCCATAATATTCTACGAGCTTATTATGTAACATTTAGGTTTTATATATTTTCTAGTGTCTAAGTCTGATAGGATATGAAAGAAAAGTAAACTCACCATTTCAATTCTGCTACCGTATATAATTTGTTATATTATTGCATGTCTTATTCTACTTTACTTATTGAACCCAATTTTTAAAAACCCTTGTTAAAACCTTAAATCCCAATAACGTTACAATAATGTTTTAAATGAATGAGTGGTCCACTGCTATCTCTCGGTCACCGTATACGATTTTTTTATGGTCTCGTATATCTTATTATACGTTACTTGACATACCCTTCAATTAAATACGTATATTGCAAGGCTTGCGAAGAAAAAAGTATTTGGCTGTTTTGTTTCTCTGGACATTCTCAATTTTTTAAAAACCAAATCATTTTGTCACACCTTTATATTTGATGTTTACGTTGTAGGGGCTATAAAAAAATTAATAGTCTAACAATTTTTTTTGGCTACTATTGTATAGGCACTGTTAAATATAACATATTGTACTAGATTTTCTTTAAATCTTAAAACATTTACGAAATTTCAGCTGGATCAAAAATCAGGAGAAACCACACGCATTAGTCCAAATTTAAAGATTACATATTTTATAGTAGATACACACATTTTCCCATATTGTTAAGTGATTTCAATTGATAAAGTATTAAGCCCTTCCTTAATGACCCGCAGTACCGCCTCATTACTCCTATGACCACCCTTATATCCCCTTGAAATAACGAAAAATGTATTTGATTTTTTTTATGTTTAAATTAAATTAAATTTTTCAAATCACCATACTACCTCCACACAATTTTCTAATCTCTCTGGACTCGTTCGCTAGCTCCCCCAAAAATAAGGAAAAAATTGTTTGGTTTTTTCTGTATTTTTGTTTTATTCAAATTTCCGAACCGTTACAATCTCTTAATTTTCCGTATAATCTGCTCTAGCCTCCCACAAACCCCCTACAATGTTTTGGGATAATGTGAATGCATATCTCCCATATTTCTCCACTAAATGAGAAAAATTTGTTCTATTTCAATTTTTTCTTGTTTAAATTAAATTAGATTTGCTACCTCCTCCTTCTGGTCGCCTATCCAAAAATCTTTACAATATTTCTTACTAATAACTTTATATTTGTACCCCATAGATAAAATAAAACTGAGTATATCCAATAGGTATACAAGCAAATATTTATACATCTACATAAGACATAAGATGAATCAATATTTGCCTGTTTACCTATTGGACGTTTTAAATTTCTATCTTACCTACAAGTATTAGAGTCACATACCTACTATATCGAGCTTAGGTGAAGACAGCTTAAAAATTAAGAATGAGAACTTATCTAAACCTACGGTGCAAGTGAATGTACGGATCCTTGGTAGCTCAAGTGGTAGAGTAACTGTCTAGTAAATAGGAGGTTGTGTGTTCGATCCACACTAGGGGAAAGATATTATTCTCATTCTTATTTATTTCTTGAAAAAGAAATTATGCGGATTAGTATAATGAATTTTTAGTATATTAGATATTGAGAAAGGGCATATGTGGATGCTATCATGAGTGCTTGTATAAAAAGTGCCACCATCTATACATGTGGACCTCTTGATACAATGATAAAGATGTATCAATATTTGCTTGTATACCTATTGGACATATTAAATTACTAACTTACCTACAAGCATTAGAGTCATATGCCTACAATTGCATTGGCTCAATTCTAGTAAGCTGCAGATTTTTAGCTTAGTCATAACGAATCGACGGCTCAGTCAAAAGAGTGCTAACCCATGTTCAGGTTAAGAAACGTGAAAAAAAGAAGATATTTTTTGGAACGAAGTTCCTTTTCTCGCATTTTGAATTTTGGGTGCATGGAGGCTAGACCGAAAGAAGTGTAACAAGACTTTTTTCCGACCCCGCTTTAGTAATATAGCCATGTATAAAGCTATACACATTACCGCAAGCAGTTCTCTCTCTCTTTCTTTCTTCATGGGCATGCACCGAACGACCTGACAGCTCTCTTTGGTTCGGCCTCCTTCAGTTGTACTCGGCCAGTAGCTCCTCTTTCCCGCGCCGCGTACCGTCAGCGCTACCTATACATTTACAGTGGCCGCTGTAAGTATATACCTATAGCTTCAATCGACATATAACGTATTAGTCTTTTCCTGCTTCCCACTCCTCATGCTATTGCACCGATGTCACTGGGTGTAAAAATGGCTGATTAGTTTATTGCCGAAAAAAAAAATACGATTCAATCTCATGTTTTTCAGTAAAGAAAAAATTGATCATTTCCCTACAGAATTTTTCCAGGAATACACGAAAAATAGTTTTGTCCAAATTAGAAGTTAACTTCATTTATTCATTTAAAAATGTATGATTAGTTGCCAATTTTTGATTTAGATGTTTGCTTTTATCTCTTCTTCTATCGCTCGTAGAGTAATTTTACGATCACCAATCTTTTTGTCATCAAATTTTCTACTCAATGTACATGTTCGTAAATTTATTTATTATTATTATAACACACTAATGGTATTATAGGGTAAAAAAATTATCCAAACCAAAAATTTTTTGATCGGCATAGAAAGAAGAACTACCATCTTAATTTAAAAGTAACCGTGAGAAAACATAGATATAACGTTGCATAGTAAGAAGCTATTTTTAAAATTAGAAAATAATTATTAGTTTTTGTTAATTAGTTTTTTAAAGTGATACTTTAAAGTGTTATTACAAACTTAATTATTGGTTTAACAAAAATAATTGTGCTGTTGTGTTGACACAGTCACAATTCATGTTTTCATTTTTTTCTGATTTCGTAGAGCATGTTCGAACACCGAAAAAATTTATTACTGTACGTGAACCTAATGCATACTCAAATTACTAATTCACTGAATTGATTCACTCTTAATAATGTGTTGTTTTTTAAAAAGTGTTTCTGTAAGTTATCGTTATTTATCATATACTTGATAAACGTATTTTATCATTAATTTTTTATTTCCTTAACTTGACATTTTATCCTGAACATGATGACGGTATGTAGCCAATGTCTACGAAAAAGCGAATAGAACTTCATTCCGACCGGGGGTCCATAGACCTCTCACGCCTGGTTTTCTTTAATTTGGTTGTAGCAGTACTGTTCGTTTTATTTTGTTTATCACTATCACATCAATGTCAGAGATTTAACGGATACTTCGTTAAAACTTAAAAAAATAATAAATCTTTTGAATGGTTAGAGTTTTTCCCATGCGCTGGACAATCAGAGTAAAATTATCGTTATAAAAGTCAAGGTAATGTTATTTCACAGTTTTCATACATTAGCACTAAAATAATTGAAGAATATTCGAAGAAATCACATAAGAACTAAGTACGTACTAACCACGTTAAATGACTGAAGTAATGTGTAAACCTCGATGGTTTTATTCACCAAACATTATTATTTATTATTTATCTATTTACCAAAATTTGGCACTCTCCAAATGCAAATTTAAGCCCATACGTAAGTAATTTTAACAGCTATTATATTAGTTTTCTATTTCATGTAATAAATATTTGTTAGATATAAATAACGTTGAATTCCCTTTTTTATTCTGTCAGCAATCGAAATTTGTAGTTGTAAAACTTCCTAGAATCAACAGCTACACTGAAATTTTAAAAATCGTTGAGACTCTGCATGGATTTATCTTTATTTATGTTAAAGAAAAAAATTTCTAGATTCTTTTATTTTCCAAGTTGTCTGAAATCATTGTTAAATGATTTCAGGTATTTTAATATACTTCAGAGCTTTCTTCAATAATCTAGAAATTTTAAGGACAATCTCAGATATTCTATATTGATAACAATTATTCTAATAATTTTCAGAGTTTTAATTTATGATGAAATTTCTCAAGTTATTAGTATGGTTTGGGAACAGTTGAGAACTTTTAAACTTTATTATAATCACGCATTTTTTTACTTTATTTTAGAAACTATAAAATACCCTACGATTTTTTCGGAACTTTCTGGGAAATTTTTAATCTTAAAAACGTTTTAAATATAATAGTTTAGAACTTTCCAGATTAATTAAGACATTTTCAAAATTATTGAAATCAAGAATATTTGAAACCAGTCTTAATCAGTTCATAACTTTCACTGATTAGATGCACTATAGAAGTTCCTAGATTTCTTTTGGTATTGTAAAATCTTTTGTAAATAACTCTCAACACTGGTACACTTTAAAGCGTTCTAGATCACTCTTGAAATTTTTATAATAATCTACACAGTATTTAGCTTATATGAGTTGTACAATATGTTAGAAAAGTACAGAAGTATTTTTACCAGTCACATCCGTACATTTCCACCTACTGCAACTGAACTCCTCAATTGCAAGTAGAGCATACGTAGAGCCTCTTACCGCTGCAACCGCAAGTGGGTAGCAGTGGATGATCGTGAAGAAAAGACTGGATATACTACTAATTTTCTTTTAAGTATATTAATTAAAAAATCCCAAGACACCGTTTGATATTAGAAATAAGTCAAAGTTTTATTAAATATGTTACAAGTATGTCTTGGTAAATTGTTTAATCTATGATTGTGTACAACATCTGAATAATATTACATATTTTGTCCTTTATTTATTTAGCTTTAGTTGAAAGGAAGCCATTGGATATAAAAGTTGATGAGAATATTAAAAAAAATCTACCTCCCTTGCGGCGTTGTGTCACACTACCCGACACCAGTTCAACTTTTCATACATCTAATCATTTTGGCTTCTCTGAAGTTGGAAATCTTATTGCATGTACGCCAGCTCTTCGTCGTCGTCGTCAAAATGATAAATCTGTTGAAGTTTTAAGTGATCTGAATCTTAGATACCAGCAGTATAAACGAAATGAACTAAGACCTACATCTGACTTATTACTGAATTCTCATTCCAGAGGAGTACCATCATATTTATTAGGAGAGGTAATTAGGCAGCCTATTGAAAGTAGTGATGATACAGAAAATAGTGATGGACACATGTGTAGTCAACAAACACAGCAACTGCCTCCTCCACCACCTCCTACAGCTCCACCTCCGCACTCTTCCGAAAACGATGCCAGGTATAACACCAGCTTTCTTAAATTTATTATTATAAAATTATACTTTATCTCTGCAGGATACGCTGCTTGCTATTGTATGGTAATAAATAAGAATAACAAAGTATACATTTTTTATACCTATATGTTAGTACAGAGATCTGAGTATACATTAAAAAAAAAAGATATTGTAGATATTAGTCTACTCTACATAAGTAGTTTAATTTTGGTTTTATAAATGTACTTGACACTATTTATTTTGTTACCAGAATTAAATATTTGAAACGTATTAGCTATGTATCGTTACTAGCTAATTCATGTATTAAAAAATATCTTGTTATGGAATGTTGTATACTTGAAATTTCTTATCTTACCATGAGGATATAACCTCTAAAATTTATGTTTTAAACTTATTTTTTTGAAATAAGTTTCTTGTATTCTAGTAACAATGAAACTTTTGTTGTTATAAAAAATATTTATCGTTATAACAAAAACTTTTTAAAGAGCTATCTTACTGCTTAAACAATTCTTGACAAGATTAAATCAAAGAAGTTCATTTTAAAGTGATGTACAACTCACATGTATATTCCTGTAATTCTGTAAAATATGTGTTGTAAGTATTAGGTAAAGAAAGTGGTTACCACGAACAAATAATCACACGTCAAAATAACTTTCTATGAATGTGTTTCCTTATTTGTTAAATTGAATTTCTGTCTTCTGGCAAGAAGGCAGTCAATATATTTGTATGTGCAGATATTTTTGTATGCACTTTCAATTACAAACTTTATTATATTACAATAAACTTTATTATAATTTTTTTCAGGGTCAGTCGGAAAAATCTTCTTTTACAAAAGATTGTTTTATGATATTTCGTTCTTGCACGCACTCGAAACAGTTTTCAACCCAGCATGCCAAGTGTAAGCTCAAGCCTAACCACCATACCGACTGCTTCGCTCGCTTTAGGCACTTGCCGATGTCCAAATGGCTTTCGTAAAGTCTAGCAATAATCTTTTATTGCAGCAGGTGCGGTATTATTAGCCTTGATTCAAAGAACAAAAATCCATCTATCGCAAACCAAGAGAAGCTGTGACTTTAGGGGCCAGTTGATCGTACAAAAACTTATTATATTCAAGCATATCGACGTGTGCGTAGAGGACTATCACAGCTTGACATCACCCCACTTACAATAACACGGTGTGACGTCACCCTGTGATAGTCTTCCACGCACACCCAAATAATAAAAGATTTTCTATTTTATTATAGATTTTTGACTTATTCAATAACTCTGTACCATTTTTATTAATTTTTTTTTTTTTCCTTAACTTTTGTGGTTTAGAAAAAAATTTATATTTTATCGTCCAATCACTATATTATTATTAGTATGACTATTATAATTATTATTTTCATACTTTTGTCTTTTATCAAAACTTTGATTCAAGCATTTAAATTTAATTTTGTTTTCTTAACAGTTTTTTGTTTCAATATTAATTTTAGTTTGTTTTTATAATGGATTGACAAATTAACTACTTTATGACTTCTATGACAAATTAAAAATTCTTGAAATCTCCAAGTAGTTTTCATGGGACAAAAGCATCTTATATGTTTGACTAAGTTTTAATTTTTGTTTGTCTTTTTTTATTAAAAATTAATTTTTTTTAAATTAAATGAACACACTATCACTTACATCATGTATATCGTACCAAACATATTTAATAATTCAAATAGATGTATAGTTTGTGTTAAATGATAATTAATATCATTTAATTTTGCCTTTGGTTTAAAACCGAAGATTGTGGACTATGGTCTCACGCTCCTTCACAGGCTGCGGGACAGCAGATAGTCCAATTATTTGTTTGTTTAAAAGAAAAAAGAGGAAGACAATATGTATAAAATATCCGTATTAGCTTACCTTCCTTTCTGCTAGAAACTTGAATACTTGCTTCGAATACTGGCAACTCTACTTTAATTATTAATTCCGATAACTTAAGCTCCTTCTTTCCGTTGCGTTTATATTTATTTATTTTATAATAACTTAAACTTTTTCTAATAGCTTTGATATCGATTTATTTTGTATTGGTTGTATACAAAAAATAGAGAAAAGACGGAACGTCTGATCACTTTTTTCATTTTAGTTATTAGTGTCTGTACTCGATGAGCGGCAGCTGGCTACTAACTAAAACGCTGCGCAAAGAAATGCACCTTGCACGAAGTTTAAGTTAAAACTTCTTTGTCTTACTTGCTATGGGGCTGGTACTTGCTGACTTCATGTGTTTAGGCTTTGTGGCTCGCTTTGGTTGTCACTTGACACTTCCGAGAGCCACAAAGTACACAGTCAGCTTTGTTAGGTGACGACTTTTATTAAGTACGACTCTTTTAAGAGTCATAGAATTTTATCAGGGAGAGAATGAATATACTATAAAATAAAATAAAAATAGAAAATTTATTTTCGCAAGTCATCACTTAACAGCATCCCCTTTTCAAAACTATAACCGTCTTTAGTGAATACATGTGTGTGTATATATATATTGTGACGTTCCCTTTTGCGTCACGATGTTCTTTAAGAACGAATAAAACAAATAATGTGGGACTTTGCCTGGAAGGGAGAGTCGAGATGACGAAGGAGAAAAATGTCTCTACATGCGCGTGATGAAGCGATGTGTGTCGTAATTTTGAATCGTCTACGAGCTAAAAAAAAACACTAGCACACACTGTGCGGATATCCTTCTCCTCGGCCGAATGGAACACTGAATGATTTGGGAGGATAAAGGATGAGGAACGGGCACTCGTCACTGTGGCTAAGCCATAGATCGAGGAGGCCCGGAACGATATGAAATTCCCGTCCTCGTACTTACGACCTTGGCGTTATTGCAAAACTGGAACCAGCGAGAGAGAGGGCTCCACCGCCATCCGATGCTTCCCAAGACGTTCGACGAAAGCTGAAATGATACTTGCATGCAAAGACGCCAAATTCAAAGAAACAAGCGAGGCGGGATTTCGTTTAAGTACCAAGGCTTTAATGAAGCAAACTTAACAATACATATCTTTCTATAATGCATACAAATTATTACATCAAGCAAAACGTAATATTTAAATAAAGGCGTACAAAAATGAGCGAATAGCAAAGAAAGGAAAAGTAAGCGTTTAAGCGATAACCAATATGAGCTTAAGTCAAAATTATAATATGTTTAAAATAATAACCAACGCGATGCATTGAAGCAAATCATAGCGGTGCATTTAAGCTACTCTAAATCAAGCATTGAAGCTAAGTGCCTTGGTGCATTGAAGCGCGACACGAATGTATGGCGGATTCCCCGTTGGCACCAGAAAGATCAAGTGTCTCGATCAAGCCAGTACCATCGGAAGAATGCCTACCGTCGTGTGCTCGCCGTGCCTGGATGGTGCTGTCGGATCGCTTGCGGTAGGCGCTGCCGAAACCCATTTCCTATGCGCCGATTGGTAACTTGCGGTGATGGGCCATGTATTGAAGCCCGAAAGCATTGCGCTGCGCGCGGCGATCTACCTGCTCTCCGCCCTACGTGCACCTATTTAAAACACAATTAGTAGCAAGCACAGCGTTAGCTATCAACATAAAATGAGAACAAAAAATATTTCTACCTATAAACACCCATTATTAAGAATAAATTAATTAATTAATTCAAATTCGAGAGGCTAGTCGGTTACAATATATATATTAAAACAAACTGCTTTAAGGTAAGAAGTGGATTATGGTAAACTGAATACTTGAATGGGAAAGAGAAAAAAAAAGATTTCCACTTTTTACCCTTTTTTTCTTAAAATTATTCTAACACTATAAATAAAAAATTTGTCGGCAATAATCTTTAACGTATATTAGCATTATAAAAAAAGTATAGCAATAAGTTAATAAATATATGTGTTCGTAGGTTCATCTTAATGTTTTTTTTTTTTTTTTTTTTTTTTAATAATCGTTGAAAATCTTATTCGCATTGGGTAAATGGTTTGGACGTTGGATAATAAAATGATGGAAACAGGTTTGATGATGGTTACGTTAGTTAATAGTCATCAGATATTTGGTCCACCCATTAGTCGTAATGACGACTGGTACTTTTATCATTAGCCTTGGTGGTAACTTTTCAGTCGTGCTGCTGGAAGTGTCTACAATTAGCGGAATATTCGGTGTAGTGTTTGTTGTTGTGTTGGCCATGGCGTTAGGCCTCTTTTGTTGGGTTGTGATGCAATGTACAACTATCTTTCGCATTTCTTCAGCTTCATCTTCCGTACCATATTCGATAAGGACAGGTACTATGTTTTTCCCGTCTTGAGAGTTTTTTGAAAAATAAATATCTTGTATACCGTACGGATATTTAAAGAACTCCGTCAGGTATTTAGTATTATTTCTTTATTAGGACATGAATTTCCCTTTTTGTACGTTTCACTCGTACAAAGTGAAGAATAGGTATTTCTTCACCTTCGTTGCATGCCTTGATTGCAGTATTTTCAACTAATCCAGACTATAATGGTCCAGATACAGGTGGCTGTCGCTTAATGGATGTTTTGTCTTTTTGTACTTATGTTTAATTTTCTGATTCTTCACATTATCCGGCAAATGCGACAATAAGTCACGTAGCTTCTGCAATGTCGAGATTACCTTTAAACTATTTACCGTGGTGTCTGCCTCTAGTGGTGAGCAAAACACCACTGTATAACTTGAATAACCCGTAGAACAGGGTTCCTGTTCTATGGACTGCACTATTCCGAAGTTTTTCAGGATCTCTTTTAGCATGAGCAGGCTATAATACCCAGTAATATAATTCAGCAGTATGCTAAGTTGGGTTCCATCTGTCATTGCTTTTACGATTTTAGGGTTTTGTTTGTCCATGTTGTATGTAATTCTATAAGCGTAAATATGATGGGTGTTATGATGGTTATTGATTAATACATGTATATTGTGACGTTCTCGTTTATTTTCTGCGGCTAATTGTCGAGAAGTGCAATATTCTACTTAACACCATAAAATAAATTTGAGAATAAGCTCCCGCCCTTCT